GGGTGGTGGTGGTGATTGTGCTTGTGGCGATGGTGATATCCATAACAAGATGGTGGTAGTAGAGGTGGTGAGGTGGAGGCAACGATGGTGGGGTTGGTGGTGCTAGTGATTGTGGCTGTGGCGGTGGTGATAGCCATAACAAGATGGTTGTAGTAGAGGTGGTGAAATAATATTTTGACAATAACAATAATATATCCATCAAAATCTCTTGGGGAAAGTAAAGGTTTGTCATGGCCTAGAATTAGTTTTGAATCAAATGAAATCCGCCACATCCGCCATTTTTTGTATTTCCTTAAAAATCAATGAGTTTTTGAATACACTCAAACTTTTATTGAGTCTTTTAAAATCATGATTGAATACATCAAAATTTGGATGGAGTTTAAAATGTCTAGATTGAATACACCTAGAATTTGTTAGACTTTTATAAAATCATGATTGAATACACCTCGACTTTTAAATTTTGTTTAAAATGTTTTAAACTTTCAATTGAATACACCCCCTAAATTTATGTTCTAAAATGGATTTTTTTCCTTAGTAAAAGTCCCAATAGTTCCTCAATCTTCTCTAATTAGATTTTATTTTGTATGTAAATTACTTTACCTATGTATATTTTTAAAAATATAAAATCTAACACATCAATTTTGTTAAAAAAATTTACTTGGGTAGATCCTAGTCATCAAACTTAAGCTAAGAAAAATAAATGACTCATATGGGTATGGACTTCCCAAACCTGTCAGACTGGTCCATTCTCGGTTCTATATTATTTGAAACCACTACTTCAACTAAACTGAACCGGCATACTAAAATATCGGAAATATTAGAGCAATTCCACCAGTTGCCCTTAGCCATGGCAAGGGGGGTGCTAGGGCAGCCACTATTCATGTGAATAGTGGCTGCCCTTGCAAAAAGCAATGTTGGTTTCCAACAGTTGCCCTCGTTTAGGGCAAATACTATTCATTTTTTTGTTTTTTTTTCACATATTTGTTTACCTAAATAATTAATTTGGACAATATGTTTTTAAAAGATTTTTGGTGTGGGAAGTGAAAAATATGACTAAGTATTTATTTTTAAAAAATCTGAATTTTTTTTGTTGCTGCTCCCTCGAGTTTTGGACCTGGGGCTGGACCTGCCCTCGGGCCAGCCCGACTTCGTGGACCCCACAGCCATCTCGGGCCAAACCCTGCTGCTGGAGGGCCTTTTTTACCCAAACCTGCCCTAGCCTCTGTCCAGCCCGAGTTGCTGGACATGCTCTTACAAAAGAGCAAAAGGAGATTCAAACCCACACCCTCTAACTTCTCAACTCTTCAACATATCGCTGCAGTAAGACCTTTACTTGTGTTATTGTTTTCTAATTAACGTCTTTATTGCTTCTCCCCTAAACTTTAAAAAAATTATTAGCAGCCGCCCACTCTCCACTCCCTCTCTCTCTCACTCTCTTTCTCCACACACACATTTCATTTCATCTTTTCTCAATTTTGCATCTGCACTCGCTCCTACCCTTTCCTTCTCGCACGGCTCTCCTCTTCCTCCTTTTCTCATTTTGACCCCTAAAACACTTTTCATATTAATAATTTTAATAATAATAAATCAAGGGTATTGTTAAAAAATTGAACTTTTCATTTATAATACTGCACTAATCAAATAGGAGAAAATGATATTTCCTAATCTTCATTTCTAAGTGTCCCCAAACATGGAAATGAATATATCGTTCATTCCTCTATCATGGGATTAGACATGAGAAGTTTATTCCCAAGAAGTTCAATTCGCGAACTAAACATGCTAGTGCTTATAAGAAATAAAGAAGAGAAAACTCGCAAAAGGTTTGTAACTCAAGTGATTAAGAACATTTATCCATACATCCTAGATTCTATGTTCAACTCCCCCCTCCCAATATCGCTTTGTATAAATAAATTAAAAAAACTCAAATTTTCTCTCTTATGAGGATCCCAAGAGCATTAAATAAACTTCTCTCTTTCTCTTAATATTTGGATCCCAAGTGAATCTCAGTCCAGAACTAATTAACTCTGGTACGTTTGAATTCAGAAATCCACCCAATTGTGTATTTATTTGTCCATTTAATAAATTGTCAGAAAAACCTAACAAAAGCTGTTGCCTTATGGCTTGTTCTGGGCTTAGCCCCTTTTGGTTTAATATACTCGTTTATTCAACAACAACAAAAAGTACAGCTGACATCAGCCGAAAAAAAATAATGTCAGCAGCATGAATAATTAGTAGAAGTCAGAGAGGTATGAAAAGAACTCTAATAGCAATGGCTACGAATTGGAACCACACCTTAGGTTTGGGCGGCTTTTTATCACAAAACTTTTCCAAGGTTTGCGAAAATACCATGATCCTTAAGGTTAATACGTGTGCTCACAAATAGTACTTGCCATCAGATTCCATCCAAAAATCTGTTAAATTGATGATATGACGTCACGTGGATTAAATACAAAAATAAAATTTTTAAAATAATTTTAAAATTGGGTTAATTACTATAGACGTCCTTGAACTATGGCCCTAGTTGCAATTGGGTCCGTGATCTAATTTTTGAGGCAATGAAATCCTTTAATTAGACAATTAGTTGCAATTAGGTCATGCCGTAACAGAATCCGTCAAAATTGACCATGTGAGTGTCACGTGCTCTTGTTGTTTGGGGTATCTTCGACTTTTCGTCGTTTTGAACAAAACAAAATAAGAAGAACAAGAAAGAACAGAGACAACAATGGCACCCACTACCATTCTCTTTCCCTACTTCACCATTCTCAGAACCCACAATTCCATTTGATCATTCAATCCCCACATAGCAAAACCCAAAACCCAGAAACCAAAATCAACCGAAATGGCCAAGACTGGCGTGTTTGATTCTGATCCGGCTATGGTGGCCAAAGCCACAGAATTGAAGAAGGAGATGCAGAGGCTGGTGAGGGCTATTGTTGGCGACGAGGATTTCAGCACCCAAACAATCGATCAGGCCAAAGACACTCTCTCGGCTCTCAAGGAATTGAAGTTCAAGAATAGATCGTTGTCTCTGATGCTGAATGATGTTCTTTCTTGCCCTGAAGGGTTTCGGTGTCCACTTTCCAAGGAGTTGATGAGAGACCTTGCACATCCTCTGACCTCTTCTTCATGGCCAAGTACTTCTGTGAAAACCAACTGCAAATCAGCTGCTGAAGGGTCTTGTTGGGTGTGACCGAATCATCCCAGAGCTCTTGCATTGTTGTGGGACAAGTATAGTGGCCCAAAGAGAACCATTTGAGAATGTTTGATCTCTTGTAAGTCTGACCCGTGCAAAGGGTTACAGGGTCTTGCATTGGCTCCAATGAGATTGGGCAAATGAAGACTGAAGGAATCTCAATGGACTCAAGCTCCTCAATCATCTTCTTCAGATCCAACTTTTCAGCCACAACACCAACACCACCACCACAAATTAACCCATCTCCACCACCCAATATCCCATCTTTCACTGCAGTGTCCAGATCTAGAACTTGGCCACCACTACCCACATCAAACTTCATATCCCCAAATCTTCTCCTACTAGTTGGCTGGTACATAGGCATTTTTAGAACCCTTTATGCAAATCAAGAAGAAAACCAAATAAACTACACTTGGCTTGGATAAGAAAGAGTTAAAGACCCTCAAAATCCAAAGACACCAAAAAACGAGAATTCCACTTGAAGACCAATCTGTCCCATCACATCCACCCAGCAAGAAGCGTGTGGCAAAGTAAAGGAGATAAAGAAAAGAAGATGGAGAGAGAAAGTGTGGAAAAGAGAGGAGGGAGAGTTTTCTCTCTCACTGTTGCTTTCCTTTACTCTCTTTGGCTAAACCTTCTCATTGATAATTACAAGCAAGCAACAAAGACCATCAAATGCCAAAGGGGATATCTTTTCTCCCATTTCATTGCTTTATCTGATCTCTTTCTATGGTCAAAACGCCCCCCTTCTTCTTCTTCACCACCACTACCACAGGCGAGGTTGATTTTCTTTGCCACTTGGGCTTTTACAATTTGCTATGTTTTTTCTGGTTTTTAATGTCAAATTCGAAGCTTTTAGTCCTGTGTTGGTGCTTTCAGTTTCTTCATTTGGGGATTTCACATAGGTTATGAAGCGAAGGACAGTTTCAGACCGAAAGAAAAAAATGGAGAGTCTTCGGACTTGAAAGGACGCTTTTACCCATCATTTTGACGGACAAATTGACAAAGTTGGACGGCAGGACCTAATTGCAACTAATTGTCTAATTAAAGGATTTCATTTCCTCAAAAATTAGTTCACGGACCCAATTGCAACTGGGGCCATAGTTCCAGGACATCTACAGTAATTAACCTTTTGAAAATTATAAACCATTAAAAAGAACTATAAAGAAAAGAAAAGAAAAAAGAAAAAGAAAATCACCACATCCTCCATTGCACCAAACCCCCCACATTTACGTGGCGTTATATCATTGGATATGTGAGACCTATAGGTGTGTGTCACATAATCACTTTAATAGATTTTTGGACGGAACTTGACGGCAATGACTATTTGTGAGTACATGTATTGTTGACGCAGAGAAAATTAAAAGAACAATATTATCCGGAAAAATTCGTTGTGAAGATGTGAATGATTCTTGGGATGAGTCGCGGACTAAGTCACTCTCTTTAAGACATTTTGCGGCTCTGCCCAAGTTGTGCAAGCAGTTCAGAAAAGGCCACTACGTCCCCGGGATAAAACAGCCCCAGAATCTCCTTTGTTTAGGTTCTTCCTTGCACTGAGGAAGGACCCGAATACAAACACCTTTCTATGTTGCTCAGAAAACTTAGTTTAGAAAATAAGAAAACTATATGAAGAGGAAGAAGGCAGCAGCTAACGTCTCTGTCTATTTTCTCTTCTATCTATATCAGATATATATACAAGGTATATCACAAAAGAAAGGTTGGTGGACTTTAAAGACAGCAAATGCATAAGTTGAAAAATCAGCCCAAATTTAATAGAAAATAACTCCTATTAAAAAAGATAATTTAAGGCAATTATTGAATTATTGAATATATATAATTTTTTAAAAATAAACATACCAACTTCAACACGTATTAACCTTAAGGACCACGAATAACACAAAAAAAACATAAAAGAAGCAACCTAATAATTTCGTGAACCTCATAAACATTTTGTGATAAAAAGCCTATGTGATATGATATGATATGAGATGCTTTTTTTGTCTTTGATATTTAAATGATTGCTTCTTTTGTCCATGACTATCTTCTTCAGGAACAGTTTTGACGTGACCCAAATCCAATTACAAATTATCTAGTATATAAGTCACTATCTATACATAAATTATTTAAATTGGAAAAAAAAAAAAAAAAAAAAAAAAAAGCTAACACGTCTACTGGAGGTGGGAATTTGATCTGATGAAAAATCTGTGTACGTACGGACTATACTGAACCGATTATTTGGTTTGATTTCGTCAAATTAATTTTTTTAATTAAAATTTCTTCCAATACGTACCAAATAAAAATTTTAAAATAGGGTTAAATATCTTTTTGGTCACTAAGAAATTTTTTTAGCCAAATTGGTCCATGTGCTTTCTAAAATTTATAAGGGCTTCTTAGATATAAGTCCATTTTCATTGAGATATAATGGAAGCAGTCCACATGCTCTCTCTTTTCAATTGCAATCCAATCTCACCAATTAAGCAATTAGTATGTCCATAATTTTTTAAAAGTTTACAGGATATGCCACTATCATAAATGGAATTATATTAAAACACTTTCCTAAAATTCAGTGTTTCCTTATATATATGTGTATGCATTTCCTTATATATATAATGTATTTTCCTTGTATATATATATACCTGCCTTACAGGTAAGTGTTTTTTTTCTCGAGTTTTCTTAAGCAGTTTTTTCTGAAGCTTCATATTTATAAACATACGTACCTGTCTTCCATGTAATAGTATTTTTTTTTTTTCCAAAGAAATTTTGTATGGACTTTTATTTCAGTTGAGTTTAAATATCCATACCAAGATATTATATGAGTTCAATTACCTGGGCTAGAGGGTATAACTACCTAGACTAGAGGTAATTTATGGATTTAATTACCTGGACCAGAGGTAATTTATGGGTTTAATTACTTGCATATTGCATACAAGTGTATGCATAGGTACCTTACCTATTGTTAAGGTATGAAATTTTTATGAACTCTTATTACAAATTTTGATGTCGGCATACCTTGGGAAAATTTCAGAATTCAATAAATAGATTTGTAATTAAATTCAAATCAAATATGATAATTAATATCCTACAAATCAATAACTTACCAATTTTATGAATTCATAATTTACCTTATTTATGTTTTAGGTGCATAACTGGAACAAAAAAAAAAGTAAAGTAAATATCAATAAATTGAAAAAGGCATGTAATCTTATGTGGGGCAAAAGTCAAAGGACTTGGATCAACAACAATTTCTGCGTGGATTGCACCCAAAATCTCTCCTCCTAATTGGACTTATGCCCAATTTTCTAAATTTATAATTTATAGACATTTCCAGTAAGTATAGTTTTTATTCTAATTTTTTTAGGAAGCATGTTCAGTTTCTTCCTCTAACTCAATGAGTTAGGGTATTATGCTATTAGGGTTTAACAAATTGGGGGAAATCTTAGGTTGAAATCGAAATAGGCCTAGTTTCAAAATATCCCCAAAGGCCCAAGGAATTTGATCATCACCGTTGATCTCAATTCAAATCAAAGCAGATATTTTGGAAGATCTTTTTCCAGAAAAGGGAGGCCCATGTGACTTTGAAAGTCAAAATTTTCAATTGAGGAAGTGATGGGGAGTTAATGAAAAACAGGTTAACCAAAAAAACACTCTCCATAAACCATTCAAAATGCCAGAGGAAAAGGGCGGCCAAGTTGCCTTTCTATACCCATAGAAGGCTCTACATTGGAACAAGATATGTTTTTCAAGAAATAAAACAGGAGACAGGAGAGTTGTTCGCTAGAAAAAGCAAGAAAAAAAAATAGAAAAAGCAAGAAAAGACCATCATAGAAGCTGACTGTTGATGGTTCTTCTTTTGCCAGAACAATAACTCCCCCTTTTTTGTGGCATTGGAAAAGGAAATTTTTTTTGAAAGATCTGCCACCAAGTATTAAAAATTAAAGAAACCCTCATTTCAGAGTTCTCTATAAATATGAGAAGAGGTGAACAGGTTAAAAGGACAACCAAAAATTCAATCAAAACAAAAACTCTCAAAGTCACATTGACAAATTCAAAACAAGATCAGTTGATCTCAAAAGGCCTTCAGGTTCTGAAGCAACCAAACTCTTTGATTTACAAAAGATAGATTAGCCAGAACTAAAGATTCTGACTTCAGTTTGATTCAGAGAAATAGTTTACAAAGGATGTTAGATTTCTCTCATTACAAATTTGGTTCAGCACAAGCCAAGTCAAGCAGAATTCAGGTTTTTTACAATATGAAAATCTCAACAAATTTACAAAGATGCCTTAAGCTCTCGAAATTGCCAGAATGGCCCTTGGATGATTCGTAATGAAGCTGAATAGGTGTTATAGTGCAGCTTCAGGCCAACAATCATCAATCCAGCCACTTCCAGACTTGAGAAGTCTCAATTCTACCCAACCAACAAGCCTTTCCAGGGCTTGAAACATATTAAAGCTCTGCCAAATTCAAACATTGGTATTGATCTCTAGCTGAAACCCATCAGTTGAAGGTGTTGACGCTTCAATCCAGCATAAACACATTCAAGTCAGCCCAGTTTAGAGGCAGCTACACATGTAGAAATCAAAGTCCAACGTTCTATTATCTTTTCCGGACTTGGCAGTTCTCTTTCAAGTTGTGTAATAGGCAGTTCTACTTAAACAGCTTGATCTCTTTTAATATTTATTCTGGCCAGAACTACCAAATCTGTACTGTGAAAAATTGTGAAGTCCTCACCAGTCTGAGGCAAGAAAAGAACTTACTTGGGAGATATTCTTCACTCAAATTTACAATCACTTGTTAAAGTCAGTAACTTGGAGCGCAAATTATCTCTGTTTCATAAATCTGTTAGGGTTTTTTAACTGTTAGCAGTGGTATACTCGCACATAAAAAAATGTTGACTTGTTGACTATCAATGGTTTTCAAGCCAAATGGGGAACTTTACCCTACCATCACAGGACTAAATCAAAACGGGTGAACAAATTGTATTTGCTCTTTTGGTTTTACATTGATAGAATTTTCTCTCTCAAATAAAGCTTTCTAACTCTCAGATTTCTTTCTCTTTTTTCTCTTCGAATTGGTGTGTCTCAAAGCCTGAAAATTGCCACTATTTATAGGCAAATGATATATGCTTTACAAGCAGGGCATTCACTCTACAACATTAACTCATAATTGCTTCTCACTATTTGTAAATAGTGACTAAGCCTATAAGTCTTCAACTTTAGGTAAAACATGGTATTTCATTCAATGTTGCTCCTCATTTTCAACATGTGGGCCATCTATCATTTACAACAGAATCTAATTATTTAATTTATTTTATGGACAAAATAAAAAAAAATTAAAACTTAAACAGAAAAAAAAAATAAAAAAAATGAGGCCACGTTCTTGAAACCATTGCCGTCGACATTCCGACGTACAACAGCCAAAGCTTTGCGTCTTTTGCTTGGGATTATTTTCAGGCTAAAGCACAGCAACCAAAGTTCTTCGTACAGCAGCCAAAGCTCTTCGCTGGGATTATTTGCGTCTTCTCCTTCTCCTCCTTCTGGAAATTTATTAGTTCTTTCTGAAAAATTCAACTTAGGCTCAAGAAACGACTCATTAATTCTTTCTGGAAATTTATTCTATGTTTTTGCAGTTAGATCGTACTATTTCTTCTCCGTTTTTGCCATTGGATTGCACCATGTTTTCCCTTATCCATGAAGGAGGAGAAGGAGAAGACGCAAATAATCCCAACGAAGAGCTTTGGCTGTTGTAGGTGGGTATGATGACGGCTAGGGTTTCAAGAACGTGGCTGCAGTTTTTAATTTTTTTACTGTTTAAATTTTAAGTTTTTTTTTATTTTGCCCATAAAATAAATTAACTAATTAGAATCCAAGTTGGAATAAGTTTATTAAGTATTAATGAGGTGGCATATGCCACATCATTTGATGTACAAATTTAATGTCTCTAGTATTATTAAAAATAAAAATAAAAATAAAAATAAAATGTGAAAATAATATATTGTAGCTTATTCGGATTTTCACTTTCATCCTGTAATTTTTTCACTGCATTTTCGTCCTTACAGTTCTATTCCGTTTTTACTTCAGTCTAATCCGTGAAGTTGGTTGAATTTCCATTAATTTTTGTGTTGCTCATTTCCTAAACCCTGCTCATTCAAAAACCCTAAATTTGATTTGTTTATTTTGCTTAAAATGAGTTTTGAGGTTTTCAAAGAACATTTGCTGGGTCGACAGAGTAATTTGATGGTGCGCGAAAATCAATTAAATAAAAGCTTAGTACACCTATTCATGGGGGACATGAAAACCTTACCCCTTGAAAAAACAAACGCATCAACCACTCTATTACCCTCGCGATAGATATAAGAGAACACAGAATCTATATGCCACAAGCAATGCAGAATAAGTCTCTAACCAAATATTGTGCCACTCCCGGATCTAAGCAACCCGAACTGCCTCAATCACGGGTAGGGACCTCAACAGCCACAGAGCTTGGCAAATTCGAGCAAAAGCACCCAAAACAAAACCAGCATGGTCTTGATGAGTTCACCAAAACCCACCCCCAAGTGCTCCCAAGAACCGTCCATATTGACCTGGATCCAACACAGCATGGGAGGATGCCATGTCACTTTGGGATAAATTCAGGAGATGATGCCAAAAGGGGGGAGATACCCAACAAAGCAAAAATAGGCCACAAAGAAGGTGGGCAGGAAGGAAACAAAGAGAGGTAGAATCCCTAAAACAAGATTAAGTAGAAACCGAGTCAAATGCGAAAATTCTTACTCACTATCACACCAAACTGCTAGCTGGTTTCCAATCTCTTTTTTAGCATGTTAGTAGGACATGTACATTTGCTAGTTGAGCTTGTATTAGCTCCTCCGACTTGTTTCTCTAAGGTGGCCGTCAAAGCTTTGGGGTATGCCTCTAAGTTTCTGAACCCTGAAAACAGAAAGGAAAAGGCACTGAAATCAGTTTCAGTCAGGTGACTTCATAGTTAATCCTGGTGTGCGGATGCGTCAGGCGAAATTACATGGTTCTCTTTCTTTGGGTTGCTCAGCATATGATCTGCATACCACCTTGAGAAGGCCTCAAGGGCCTCTTTCATCCATTGATGCCTGCAAAGTCCTATAGCTTCAGGAATTGTAAGCCAACTTCTTTGACGAGTATTCTGTTCTGGCCAAAACTGGAGCTCTTCCTTCACAAGCAAAGGGAACATGGCAGCTTTGCACAAACCTTCGGGACTCAACTCGTCTTGCAGAGTCTTGCTTTTAAAAAAATAGTGCCCCAAAAAATGCTGAAACACACAAATAATCAAAGATTGAAAGATAAGGAACTGCTGTCAGAAAGAAGTCTTTTTCTGACCATAAGGCATAAAGTCATCTTGCAAGCAATAATTATATTCAGTCCAGAAGCAGTTTGGGAGTGGGAAGGGAAAGGCCAATCAAAATAAGAGAACAAATTTTCATATATCTTCCAAAGACACCCAAGAACAAAATGTTTAGCCCAATATCTATCTCACAATACTTTGTTGGCCATTACTTACTAGGAATGGTGGCAGGAAGAAAGGAATCCAGTATTACACCTTCAAAAGTCAGAAAAGCAGGGAAATAATACTGAAGAGTAAATAACACTTTCAAAACTCACGCTATGCTAGTCAATCCTCAAAAAATCTACACCCACATAGATAAACCTATTTATTAATTTAGAAACAGTACATGCTAAACTTGGACAATAAAATGGCATCAATCACAGCGAGCTCATAATTCTATCCATGATCATTTCTTCATTGACTACCTGGTCATATTTCCATGAATACAATAGCTCGTTACATTGTTTAACATCTACTTCATCCATTATAGACATCGTAATGATAATATAAAGTCTTTGCGCAATCAAGAAAGTGAATGCAAAACTGACAAACATATAACTGAAACATTCATGGTGTTCGATGACTTTACTGGCAGTACTAACATTAACTCGTACTCATAGACAGGAAAACACAATCCAACACCAAATATCCACACGGAAGAACTTACCACGCATATATGAAAGAAACAGGCAGTTCTTACCATTATATCCCCTCGTACTCCAGCTTCTTCTACAGCTTCACGTATTGCTGCTTCCACAACGGTTTCATCATTTTCCCATCCACCCTATGATTAAAAATAGATGTCATAATTGCAGGTATGACACATATAAATGATAGCTGATTCAAGTATTACCACTCATGCATCAAAATTTAGCAACCCTAGATTTCAGGCTTTGAATATATCACTGATGTCAGTGACATAATTTAAAAGGACAAAACCTGTGCACAGCAGCAGAAAAATAAATTTTAGCCTATATTAAACAGAAGAAAACTGATTACCTGCAAACCTGGAGATTAAAAAATGTTGAACCCCAAGGCTAAGGACAGGAAGAAAGGAATATAGGGATGCGTTTTGGCCATTGGTTGAACAAGAAGTTACATGATAAATGGTTATGTAGGTGAGAAACGGAGATGCTTTTTAGATCAGAGTTGGATGGAACTTTTCCATTATCAACAAAGGGTAGGGAGAAGAGAAGGCCTTATCACCTGAAGTCACTCAAAAAGTAAATGCAGGCTAGCATTGAATTGGTTTCTTTTGGAATGAATTATGTGTGGATTCACTCTAAACGGAAGGTAAAGTTTTAAGATTTGTAAGTCATGGCTTCCTTTAAAGAATTCAAAGTGTATAGCAGATAAAATTGAGGAGTCATACAAATTTACAAATTATAATACATCGGAGAGATTTCAATCATTAATTGATGGCGGCTAAAAAATTGTTGGAAAGATATCTTGGGAGAGCAGTTCAAAGTGGTAATACATCTGAGATAGCTAGTTTTCCTTAACATCTTTGATTTGAAGTCTTTTTTCTGGGCAGGAGCCAGAAGGGACTGCAAAATGGAAATTCCAACGAAACAAATCACAGGTTTCACAGCCTTTTTTTTTTTCCCTGGGTGACTCATTTCACATGGAAAGCTCTAATTAAAAATTCTCATCCTAGATTTCCATGCTTGAGAAAATATAGAAAATTTTGATAGTCACCTATATCCTTATCCACAGCAATTAAGACTCGTGTTTTTACAATTTTGGTGCTAGTTGGGTATGAAAATGAGTAAGCAGAAATTCGCATGTTCCCTGCCCCATACAAGAAAAAGGTCTTACAAATTTCCAATAGTCCATAATATATATATATATATATAGAGAGAGAGAGAGAGAGAGAGAGAGAGAGAGAGATCAAATCTAAATGTTTTTTTTTTGTGGAGTTTCTTGTAGAAAGAGAAATGAAAGATCTTGAAGGATCCTAGTGTTTCTTTCACTAAGGTTGTTAGCATTTTTAAGTGCTTCTAGTTGCTGGCATTGTTACCTTTTGGGGCGGTCTTCATTTTCTACATCAGATGTAGTGGGGTTCCTTCATTTTTAAGTAAGATAAAACATTACTGCTGAAGGAGACATGTTGTGAGTTAAATTCCATCTTCTGTGCATTCACAACAGCTGAATGGAAACTCCAAAATAAAAATAGAAATATGGCAGTCATACAGTCAAGAGTGGTCATACATTATTGTTTTAAATTAAACAGCCATACAGTTAAGAGTGGTCATATATTATTGTTTTATATGCCTTTTACAAATTCAATAGCCTTGAATATCGTATTAAGCAAGTAAATTTGTTCATAGATATTTGTGGCCAATATGGTTCCAGATCTATTTAATATGCGTGCTTGTGGTACGTGCATATCTCAAGGGTCTGGAACTTAACAAACATCATAAGTAACCAGCAAAGCGGAGATAGTGATTTCAATGCCTTTCAAACTTAGTTTCAGGAATTTCTTAGGGCACGCACACACACACACACACACACACACATGCACACATACACATACATAAATATAGATGAGAAACAAAGGAGACCTCTTTAGCATGAAGTTATTAATATGTTTACACAAATTGCATTTGCAAAAGAATTAACAATGAAAGGAAATAAATTCTACCTTCGGAAAGACAAGCCCAGGTCCACTAGTTGAGTTGATCATTAGAACTTCGACAACCTTCTCATGTGTCCCATCACTATTTTCAACAAGATTTGTATACTTGAAGGGAATGCACCTGTACACAACTGAAATTAGATGCAGAAACATAAATAAACATATGCTCTCGATATAATTTGTGATATATGCTTGGCAGGGTAAGTTCTAAAAGAAATACAGAAATATATAAGACAAGATACAAAAGTTTGTCAACTCTTATAGTAGCATAATCTGATATAGAATAGTTCTGAAAAAAGCTGATGCACAAAATATCTATTTGTTAGCAACAAATTATGCAGACACTGGCAAGGTCAACTGCAGTAACAATTACATACAGTACAGAATGCATACATTTACCAACTCAGAACTCACCAAGTCCCAGCATTTGAGGGTCTGTAAGCATCAACCGTCTACAGAATGACAGATGATTGGGGCATGATCCAGTGTTGTTTAAAGATAATTGTTACATTTGAGAGTCTCGCTTTTCCTTTAGTTAGACAAATGACAAAAAAAAAAAAAATCCCTCAACGGGCGGTAAGGTTCTCATAAATTAACGATCCAGTCTCGTCTAAAGCTAATTCAACATTTTGCGAAAAACCCACAAGCCAACCATAAGTGGTTTAATAGAACTGCAACCCCTGGTTCTAAATTAGGAAAAAAACCACTTTTCTTTTTAGTTTCATAAGTAAGAAATTTGATAACACGTTAAGGAATAAACAGAGTTCCAAAGAGATAAAGCAGACTTCCAGGAGCAGCAGTGATGCTTCTTATTAACAACAACCCAGTCTCACACTCACTCTCACTGTTATGAAATTTGGTTTTGATGGGTAAGAAATTTGGCAAAGGGTGGAGGAATGAGCAGAGTTAGAAAGACCAGAATGCCTAATCTACAAAGGCTAGAATGCATATATATATATATCGAACACCCTAACAAAAGCAATACCTTGGAACTTAGAAGCTGTGAATTGAAACATAAAATACACACAAACTCAGAACAACGAGGCAGGAAGACGCAGTGGTTATGATGCCATTGTCATCACAATCTTGGGTTTTCCAAACCCAACCAAGAAGACAGGCATAAAATTGCATTACCATGTTCACAAAAATTACCAGCATCAGTGAATCTAACGAGACACATACCCGGCAATGAGGCGGTGACCGCCCTCGTACCGCTGCTGATGGCGGCCAGTGCGAGCCACCAAGGCTGACATTTGGCGCCCTCAAAAAGCCCAATTCGCTTCTGCTTGGGTTCTGGTGGTTGTATGTGGCTATGGGGTTCGAGGTGCTTGGTGCTATAACCATAAGCTTCCAATTTCAAGCTGCAAATGAACCATTGTTGTTTTTGTGTGTTGGGCTGATATTCCTATGCCACCAAATCAAAATATGCAAAAATGCCCAGCGAATGCCTTGTTGTCTTTCTGTCTTTATCTTTTTTTTCTTGAATAAATCTGCTGAGATATGTGAATGATGATGTGCTGTGGTTTCTCTCCATTTCTTCTCTTGTTCTTCAGCCGCATCATCATCACTCTGCCATTGCACCGCCTTCAACCGACATAAGACCCTCTTTTTTTCTATTTATGTCGGTTGTTTTTGGGTCGCTTGGAGCTAGTCGGTTAAAAAGAGGCTCTATTTCTCTCTCGAGTTCTCTCGTATAAATAACCTGTTAATTACACAAATGTAACTTTAAACTTTGATTAAATCTCACTTTACCCTTTCAAACTAAAAAGCCCACTTTTATGTCCTCATCAAATTTGGTGATTTACTTTATCCCATACCATCAACTCCATCTAAAAATCTGTTAATTTTAAAGACGTGGTAGAGGTATTTTTGTAATTTCATACACAAGGATCATTATCTACTAATTAGATGAGTGACGTGACAAGTGGACTCATCTCCACATAAATAAAAATATAATTAAATATTCTAATAATTAAAAATAACTAGAAATTAAAATAAATCAAAATATATATATTCAAAAAAATTAAAAATCCTACCCAGCCCTCAACCAATATCCACTATAGCCACCCTCAACCCACGTAGCCCCGAACAACCAACCAACCACCAAAATTCATCATAGCGCAGCCTCTCTCTCTCTCCCCCCACAAAATTTATCAAGACACCCCACCCAAAATTCTTTTGGTTCCTCTTCAACCTTCTGCTCATCCTAGTTCTTCTTTCTCTCATCTACATTTTTTGTTAACTAGCCTTGAATTTTTCAAATATGTAATTCGCTCAAATTGAAACCACTATATGTAATCTCATATTCCCAACCGTGACTCTCTCTCTCTCTCTCTCTCTCTCTCTCTCTCACACACACACA